GGAAGGCTGAGGCGGAAGGATCGCCAGAGCCCAGCAGGTCGAGGCTGCGGTGGCCGGGAGCAGCCACTGCACTCCAGTCTGGGTGACAGAGTGAGACTCCAACTCAAAAAAAAAAGAAAGTTAGCATGGCACTAGCTGTGTCTTGTCCATCAAAAAAACAACATGCCGTCAAGGTGTATAAAGTTGATCGGGGAGAATGAGGTGTTTATACTAGGCATACAATTTGAGGCTCCCTGATAATGATGCCACCCTAATTTAATGTATATGTCCCTTATGGATTTAGTAAGAAAGTATAGGTGAGGTTGCAGACTCAGAGAAAGCATTTTATTTTTCAAAATCATGAAAATGCCTTTCTTTAAAAGAGTAATATTCCCAACATAAAACTTCAAATAACAACAAGGTTCATAGCTTTCTTTTCCTCCGATGTTTTGAGCCCCCCCCTCCATGAAACTTGAATTGAACTGCAAACAAGCCTTTACAACAGACATAAGGAGAAGAGAATTCTTCACCACTTTTCAATGCAAGAAAGTCTAATCTCATTTTAAGAAAATGTTGGTGGAGCAGGAGTGTGCATTCATGTATGGGGGATGCCATGCTGATTTTTTAAAAAATAGTTGCCCTATTTTTTCCCTTTAATACTATAGAAGAAAATGGCAATTTATAAAGTAGTGTTCAATTTTACTCTGTATTAAGAAATATATTTGTTCCAAGAAGGTGAAAAATAGCAGTTTACTCTCACTCCCTAGGGAAAGCTCACACACATACCAAAGTCACGTCTACTGGGTGCCAGTTGTCAGCCTTAGTTCATGCTCCTGGGCTCTTTGACCTTTGGAGGTCAGTTGATAGAAAGTTTCTTGCCTGCCTGCTTCCTTGCTCAGTGTCTAGGAGGAAGTCTAGCATGGAGCTTTAGAAAAGTACCATTCCCAACACAAATCCTCAAATAACAACAAACTCAGGACCGTGTCAGAGCTGTCATTTGGCAGGGTTCACATAGCTACTTTGAACTTAGAAGGCATAAAAGCCTAATGCAATGTTATGGACAATTTGAATCATGCAAACATCTCCTCCTCCTCTTATTTGAGATAACCTAAGATATTTGAATATGGATTAAATATTAGATGATATAAATGAATCATTAATTTTGTTATGATTTTGTAAGAAAATGTCAATTTTTAAAAAGGAGATGATTACTATCAGTTGTAATGGTAAAATGATATAATGCTTAATATTTGTTTTTTAAAAAACTAAAGAAAAAAATAACAAATGAAATAAGATATGTAGAGCATTATACTAAGGAAAATAAGCCAGACACAGAAAGAAAAATGATCTCACTTATATGTGCAAGATTATGAGAGTTTTCATGTGTGATTTTGGAATAACATTGCAGTTCAAAGGGACTGCACAAGAATTAATGGTGATAATGTAAGTAAGTTTCTATTCATAGTCTCTGGCATATAAGTTTTAAATGAATTGTAGCTAGTGGTATTAGTTATTTAGTAAACATTTGTTAGATTGTTGAAACACACACACACATGCACACACACACACACACACACACACACACACACACACACACAAATTCTTGGTAGCTGTTGAATCCAGGCAATGGATAATTGGAGGTTTCTTATACCATTTTCTCAATTTTTGTGTATGTTTGAAAATGTTTGTAGTAAAATATTTGCTTTGCTTACCTAGCCTATGACATTAGGCAGAGCATTTAATTTCTATATTCCGGTTTCCTCAAGAGCAAAGCAGAGGTAACAAGAGTTCCTCCCTCGTAGGTAGACGTACTGTGTGAATTGAACATGCCCCTGTGGACCCAGAGCCTGGCACAGGTCTCGCACAGAGCCAGCACTCAATAACTACAGATTATCATTAGCATTGTATTTGGATATGGGGTCAGGAAGATACTTTTCTTATTGCTCACCCTGTCACTGCTATCTTATTTGGGGTTCCTCTCCGACTCCCAAATCAGCATTGCCTTGCATCATGAAAGATGAAAATGCACACAGGCAAATGCTAACGCTAATGCTTCATTCTAATTGAATATAGCTCTAATGACACATGTACTTTCAGGCTGATAGGAGTCACTGAGAATTAGTCATTCAATGAGGGTGTAAGAAGGGAGAAGTTTGGGAAGGAAAATATACCACAAACAATGTTTGCTGGTTAACACACTTTATATTTAACAAAATAATTTTTTAATAATATATTCTTTTACACATCAAATATTGTTGCTAGAATCCCCTTTTTACAGTTTAGTGTTTAGGTTTTTTTTCTCACTAGTTTTCAGGCACACCATTTTTCGAAGATTTTAGAAACTGAATCGTTTTTAATAGGCATCAGCTGACAAACAGGATGTGGATCCCTTATCTAAACATAGCTGTCATTAAAGCCGAGAACCAAAGGCAGAGGAGAAATAAGAGTACAGAGGTGACAGTGTGGCTGCAAACAAAGCCTTCATAAGGAGACAAAAACAAAACAAAACAAAACAACAACCTAAAAACAAAAAGCAAACAAACAAAAAACTCCAACAACAACAGATGAGACCAGAACTCTGTTGATCAGAGTTTGGAAAGACTTTCTCAATGACCTGGGTAGAAGGAAGTTGTAAAATGTTTAACGGTTTATGAGAAATTGTCACAGTATAGGCTCATCTCTCCCTAAAGGGGGAAAAATGTCAGTGCTACAAAATCTTAAAGGAAACAGCTTGTAGCGAAACACGGAGAAAAAAATATAACAACAACAGCAACAACAATAAAAATTCCTCTCTCTAGCTGGTAACAAAAGCCACTGAGCAGCCTGCTTTCTGCAAACTCTCTGAAGAGAGATTCTTGATGGATGTTATATTCCATTCTAGCACATTCTTGCTGTGACTATCACTGTGCCAATACTTTGATGCAAAATGTCTGTACTTCAGCTTCCCGTTGCACTTGCTTTCTGTTTTCTAAAAAAGACATAGTAACTCCTTAATAATAGATAAGGTACTATGCTACATGGCTCTATTAATGGTATTTTCTGAGTTTCAAACCTTATTCCTGTCATTTATTATTATTATTTCTTTCCAAGAGTGTGGGTTTTTGAAGCTGGCAACAGGCAACCTCAGGGCAAAGAAGGCTCTATAATACGTCTCTGTCTAGACACAAGCTGAAGTGTGGAATGCCTTTACCTTTGAGTGCAGACATAAATCACGCAGCGCTGCTCATGAATGATTCATGACTGTCTATATGATGTATCCATGGTGGCAACTGAAAGGCACCAACCTTGCTGCAAATTGGTGTTCTAAGGGAAGGAGGCTTGATGTTCTTCCTTGGGATGGTACCAGCATGGCTATTTGTATCACAACACAAGCACAGTGTGTGTAAAAGTGTCAGGTCCAACTCATCACCACATTAATTTTGGAAATGACAAGTCTTTCTTGATGACAGGAGGTGCTTCCAGGGAGGAGAGGCTGACAATTTTAAGTGAAAATCCAGTTGACGAGACTCAAGAAATGTGTCCTGAGGGTGTACCCATCACATTAGAAGCATCACTCTCTGTGGAGAAGACCGACCCTTCAGGGCTGCCATCTGTGTGTGTCCCATAGGGTTCGGAGGCTCACCAAAGCCACAGGTACAGCCAGAGTTTGCCCAGTGTGTCCCCCTTGGCAGAAATCACTCTATACTGATTAGTTCTAGATAACTGTTTCTCAGCTAGGTGAAAATTCGCCCCCACCTCCACCCCTTGGGGGACATTTGGCAATGTCTGGAGACATTTGGTTGTCACAACTAGGGTGTTTCCACTGGCCTCTAGTGGATAGAGGCCAGAGATGCTGCTAAACATTTACTCTAAGAATGCACAGGACAGCCCCTACCAACAGTGATCTGGCCCCAGATGTCAATACTAAGGTTGGGACACACTGCTCTTGAATATGGCACTCCACAGGAAGTATGGCAAAGACCAAGTTGGGGAGCAGAAAAAGAAAGTCGATAACGAAGACAACCTTCAGGTTTCTTCAAGGACCCTATCAGATCTGCACCAGGGTTTTTAGGACAGGAGAGTGGAATAAACGACTAACTATGCCATGTGGTTTCAGAATTGCTAACTTTGCACTTGAATCGAGGTGGCATCAGATACCCTGTGTATTTTTTTTTCTGTTACTATACTAGCAGCATTGCCAGGGCAACCTGGAAACTCTTCAAAGGTTCATTTTAATTGTTCAGTATCTAATATATACATTTTTAAAAATGTTCAACAAATGGAATTGTATTGTGCAAGACTCACTCTACCCTAATCTTTAATTTAAATCAGCACTTGAGGTGGAAAGAGTGTCCTGAATCTGTGTTTTAGACATAGGGCTGAGCGGTTGTTACTACAACATGGCAAACACGGTCCCGAAACCATAAAAACTGCCAGTGTGTACTACTGGCTATCAGCCAAATCTGAACTCAAAAGCCAGAAAGGTTCAGAAAAATTCGGATTCACAGTGGGGCTATTCACCCTGGTTCTGGTATTTATATTGCCCGGTGACAGAGTGGGTTTAGAGAGTGTTCAGTTTGTAAACCAAACTCAAATTCAGCATCATGAAAAAGTCTAGTGATTAATGCTACAATTTAAAATACCTGTTTCTCTTTGGATTTTGTAGTCAAGCTCAAGGTGTTCTTTACATATTAGTTTTTGATCGGCAGTTTCAAGGTTTTGCGTACGAAATGTATGACTTGTAAGAATTAAATCATGGGCTCCCCCACAAAATGAACGAAGTACCAGTTTTTCACCCTGTCCATCGGTGGGTCGATCTGTGTGCCCACCCTCTTTTCTTAGTCTACAGGGCATGATTCACTCTAGAGGAGAGTGATTGGATGCTCTTATGTCTTCCTGCTCAGGAAAGATCCTTTCCCTAACATTCCTTTACCAAGCCTCTTTTGACACAACTCGAAATTTTACTGTGCAGTCAAATATGGCCCCTTAGACATTAAAGGTTAAAAAAAAAACTCCAAGAGAAAAATGTTATGTAGGTTGTACAGAAGAGCAAAAATAGAGTAAACCAGGGGATGGTGAGCTGGCAGGTCAGAGGCATCACCAGGGAAGAAGCCTGTGCAAGGCTATTTCTTTCTTTTTGTTCCAGAAATCCCATCGTCAAGTCACCATCAAGCATTGGTAAATACAAAAGCGGTTTAGATAGTTATATACTATATATATTTTATATAGCAAGAGAGAAAGAGAAATTTCCTCTTAGTAAAATATTCACTTTTGTCAACCCCAAAAGGTTTTGCTGGTGACCCTGTTGTAGCTGGCAGGAGTTTGTTTTGTTTTGTGTGAAACATGTGCAGTGTAGAAGCCATCGCATCCTCTCCTTCTAAGAACTGGTCATTGGTTGGAAATTTGTCCTACACAGTGTGCTTGCCTTGGCATTCACGTTTTGAGCACTGAGCAGGCTTCCACCAGTCCCCGTTGTGACAGTGACAGATGTTACATTCGTCCACTTTCACTTCAATGCCAGCTGGAATTATTGTAGTTCCTGCAAAGCAATTTGGACCTGAAACACACAGATACATTGATTAGTTGATTAAATCTGGGAGGCTCCCTTCCTCCACCCCCTATACCAAAACCCAACTCCAAAGACACGAATGAGTGGGTCAGACTGCTCTAACAACTGATCGTAAAGGAATTGTCTAGCTACCTCCTCGAAACTCAAGCTTTCAACTCTGCTATCTTTTGCACAGAGCTCATATTTACCAGGTCTATCATGCACTTGAAAAAAGAGAATCCTCAAAAAATCATATTGTCTGCTTACTATGTATAGGCAGTTTTCTAAATTCAATTCTATGGGTTTTTTGTTTTGTCCCTCTGGGGTGTAAAGGCTGCCAAAATGTCCCCTGAAACAAGAGTGGAGGGCTGACATGGTCTGTATCAGATGATGGCACCTGTGGCCTGTCCTCTCCCTTCCTGTGGTGGGTATGAGACAATGAGCTCACTCACTCCCCAGTTTCAGCACCTCCCCAGCTCAGTTCCTGGAATCCCAGCTTGTTTCTTGATAACAATGAATAATTCATGGCCAGATGATTTATTCATGTCCTGAACAAGCTTTGTTAGAGGTTCATTTGATTTTTATAAATGGACTTCCTTTAATCTGCTGGCTATCTCTTTTTTTTCATTCTTTCCTTTTTTTTTTTTTTTTTTTAAAGAAAGACCCAAATGGTTGGCTTCTGAAAGTCAGCAGGAATTTTATTTTACCTTTTTCAGGTTAAGAACAGCTTTATTGAAAATGTCACCTGCTCATTTTAGATGGATGTTTTAAAAATTCACCAATCTGTTTTTTTTTTTAACTTCTTGTTCACCTTTCTTCTCTTTCCCTTACTTTCTCTTTATTCATTTCTTTTTTTCTTTTAACCTTCCCAATGTAGGGATGCCAGGTTTAGTAGTATTAGTCGATATTATTGCATTGCCCAAATTCAAATGGAATAAAAATTGCTTCTCAAGATACAATGGATTTTAGTGAGGTGGTACAAATAGGTATCTGAAGTACACATTTGGGTAAAGAGAGAGACCGCACTGAGTTGTGTCTGCCAGTGATTTATGAAGCCAGCATTACTGGCCACTTGCCACAGCCACTACAAAGTAACATGGCAACATACATCAATGCCCCACTTTCACTTTCTTACTCTTATTTACAAGACTGTCTTTACCAATCTATAAATGAATTCTGGGGCCATTTGTAGTTCAGCTTCACAATTGGAGTTTTGCTTTTATAAAAATTATAACTACTAAGTTGCATGGCATATTTATCAACACAAAACTATTTACTATGTTATGGTTTTAATCACCCATTGTTTCGGAGCTCCCAGGCCTCAGTTGGGCACACACTCCAGTGGAGATGGGGTTCCTATGCCTTCCTTTACTTTGCAGCAAACACTTGGGGTCATGTGCCCAAGGATGGAGAAGTGTCAAGTGTAAGAGAGGTACGATGGGTCAACTCTGACAACTAAATAGCTAGTGAGCTCTCAACCTTCACCCAGGAAGGTGCTGCTTGTTCTGATGCTATGTTCGTGAGCCACTGGCCATCTTAATTGGCATCCTGATTATTTAAGGATTGTAATATTAATTCCATATGTTTTGGGATTTAAGTCATTGTTTGATAGACTGGACAGCTTTTGGGACTATGCCTTTCTGAGAAAATTCAACATCAAACCGTCAGTGTGTTCTGGATCTAGAACTGAGGGAGTTCTTAGGAGAACTTGGCAGGGAGTATTTTCCAGAATGTAGCTGGTTTTCCCATGGCTTTTGTTGACAGACCTCTCTCAGCACAGCCAGTTCTAGGCCAAACAGGGTCTTGCCAAGGCCAAGCTAGCTTTAGAATTCATACTAGAGGCAACTACCACCTGTTTGCCTGGAGTCAGCCCAGAAGAGGTAATGGTTCCTCTTTCTACCTGCCCCTGCCAAGTATTTTCACCCTAATTGTATACTTTGAACTTTTCCAGACGAGCAAAGAAAAAATTCTAAATAGCGGCTTCAAATAAAGAAATTCCTAAAACAGGAACAATATTACCTAGTAAGAATTTTCCCAGCTTCTTGAGAGGATTTGGAAATTTGACAGTTAGGAGAATCTTAATTTGGTGTATTTGTGTGTGTGTGTGTGTGTGTGTGTGTGTGTGTATGTGTGTAGAGACATGCTTCTGGCTCACAGGAGGTTGGTTACTCTCAATGGCATAATAAGAGAAAAAAAGGGAGGAATCTTTGTGAAATATCACTTGCATATCTCAAAGGGGTATTTTATTAAGAGTTCTGGTTTTCATATCTGCCCCTTTCTGCATATGCTGATATTATACCATGATCAGTGTGTATTTGATTAATGTCGGTATGTCATTTCTTAAGAGTCATTTAGAATCTGTCGTACTTTTGGCTCAAGAAATATTAAGGACTGTATGTTGATTGACAGAACACAAAGAAAGATCCTTTGTACATGCTAGGACTAACCAAAAGCACTTCTGTAAATTACATAGTAAGCTCTTAACTGTCTACCTGATGGCCAGAGGTATTTTACAGAATAAAAAATTCCTGTTTGATCTTTTTAATTTAAGTAGTAGAGTGATTTTATTAGCGCCCTTCTGAGAATCTTGTGTGTAACTACAGCAAATCTCAAATTTGCTGTTGATAGTCTTATCTGCTTAAAAGTAATTTAAATTATTGTCAAGCAGAATGGTTGGCACTATTTAAAAACCGCACTGGGTTTAGTCCTTCTTCCTTAATAGTGGTGACACGAAATGCTAATTTGCTTTGAGCATGTTCTACACAAGTTCTCTACATAGGAAGTCTGTCCTAACTGGGGTTGCTTTCTTTTTGTCTTGGTCTATGTAAAGGAAAAAGTTTCTTATAAGAGTGAACTCAATGACAAAGCGACACATTTTAATGCAGAGGATTTGGAGAGACTCCAGAGGGGAGCAATGAAAATGATTAAACTGAAGACTGGCAAAGAGGACCCTTGAGAAAAGGTTAAAGGGATTGGAATTATTTAATCTAGAAAGAGAAGATGGAGAAATAACTCAATAACTCTCATACAATGAAGGCTTATTATGTGAAAAACAGTGACCAACTGTTCTCTCTTTCTTCTGGGGCACGGAATAAGAGGAAATGGAGACATATTGATTCTCAATGAATTGAACATGCATGCATACATACATTCTTCAAAGCACTAAGCATTGAATTTAGCAGCTGCCATCAATGTGGTGAGATCTTCTCTTGGTGAGTTTTAGGAATATAGGCGGTCTTATTTGTCGGGTATGGTTTAAACCATTAGCTCCTTGAAGGCAGAAATTGAATATCTGTTATTTCTTATGGTTCAGGCCTAGTCTTGCATCTGGTAAATGTTAAGAACTTAGGTTTGTTTAGCAGAATGAAATATTATGAACTAGCTCATGAAACATTGGAAGCAAATTCATTTTCTGAATTTATAGATCAGGTTTCATCTATATGTCAGGGCTAGCCTTAGTAATACAGGTATTGAAATATTTGCTAATGAATGTAGATGCATGTGACAGTTTATTGAGCACTTACTTCAGGCCAGGAGTTTGTCTCATTTAGTCTTCACAATGACAGATCATATAAGGTACACATCTTTACCCTAAGGACACAGCCTCACAGGGAAAACATAACTTGCCAGAAATCACATACGCAGTAAGTGGCACCCATGAGAGAGGGATTCAAATCATTCTGAACTAAAAGATACTTCTAGTTGCCCAGGAAAGGAGGTAGGTATTTAGGCATGCATTATTGTGTTCCTTTACCCAGATACTGAGCTTCTGATCAGAATTTAGAAGTCTGGTTGGTTTTTGTACTAAGGATGCACATTGAGGTTTAAAAAAAAAGTAATGTGATTGGAAAGAAGTGAGACTATTTTTTATAGGTCTTTATTGGATGTATTGGCTTTATATTGTGTATTCATGTAGTATCCAGGAAACATAATTTATTTCAAAACTGGTTCCCAACAGTGTGGTGATTCCTAAAAGATCTAAAAATCCAGCTGTAATTCCAGCACTTTGGGAGGCTGAGGTGAATGGATTGCCCGAGCCTGCGAGTTTAAGACCAGCCAGGGAAACTTGGTGAGACCGCGTCTCTACAATAAAATAAAAAATTACCCGGTCATGGCAGTGCATGCCTGTAGTTCTGGCTACTTGGAAGGCTGAGGCTGAAGAATCGCCAGCACCCAACGGTCAATGCTGAGGCAGCTGTGAGCATGCCACCACACTCCAGCCTGGGCAACAGAGTGAGACTCCAACTCAAAATAAAAAAGAAAAAAAATCTAAAAAAATCGACCTTCCACATGATCCAGTAATCCCCCTTCTACGAATGTACCTGGAGGAACTAAAATCATTCTACAAAAAAAAGTTACCTGCACATGCATGGTTTTTGCAGCATATTCACAATAGCAAAAACATGGAACCAACCATGCTGCCTATTGAAAGTAGACTGGAATAAACAAAAATGTGACACATATACATGATAGAATATTACACAGCCATAAAGAAGGGACAAACTTCACAGGAACTTGGATGGATTTAGAGTCTATACTATTCAGTGATCTATCACAGAAACAAAGAACTGAGTACCACATATTCTCACTCATAAGTGAATCCCGAAGATTTATCATAACACTACAAGAAAGGGATTGGCACCAGTAGGACACTGCCAGGGGGTGGGGTGAGCGCACTTCATCAATAAGAGTACCTGATCTCAAACCAGGTGAAGTGGGGACCAAAGTGAGGTCCAACCTTTATCTGTACAATGACAATTTGTATACCTAATCCTGAGTCGTTCCCCACATCTTTAAAATGAAATAAATAAATAAATATGTAAATAAATAAATATTAATGTAATTGGTGATACCTAAGGGCTACAAAACACAACCAAAAAACTCAAATTTCCATGCTTGGGAAGGGAGGTTTTCCTTTTGCCAGTAGCGATGTTCTCAATGGTCCTGAATGTGGACCAGCCAAGAAGCAGCATGACAGTGGCCCATGACTCAGGAGACTCAGTCCAAAT